CAGTGCGAGGGACGGGGAGCGGAGAAGGGCCGAGCGGGAAGGAGGGGTGACTTCCCTCCCCCGGAGCCCCCGCTGCGAGTAAGAGTTGCGTTTGTCAGCTCCACTTTCATCCAGTAAGGGGGATCTGGGTCGTCGTCTTCTGCCTGTGATGCTCCCAACAACCCTGTGAGGTAGCCTAGGCTGAGAGAAAATAGCTGGCTACGCACCTGGGGCTCAAGAGGAACTTAAAGTGCTCTCAGCTTTGCCCTTCTCAGTTCGGAAGGACAGTCCCTGGCTTTGTAGTGCTGGGTGAACCAGCCCACTCTGGTTTATTTGATCCCATCATGCGGCTCCTGGACAGTCAACGGCCTGGAAAGAGGCATTCGAAGCCTGGGTCTGGGGCTGTCATTTATGTGCTCCGTCTGCTGCACTCTCCAAAGGGGAACTTCCAGGCATTGGGGAGGGGGGAGAAGTGGGCGGTGGGCTTTCCTTCAGAAAGGCATGGTTGCTCTGATAACATTTGCACATCTTGGCACCGAGGACCAGTGGAAGTTTGCAGTGGCGTTTATCTTTCCATGTTCTGCTGTTTTTATCTCCCCGTGCTTCCCAACTAGTCCTCCCACCCTTTTTTCCTTGCCGATACCCAGTGAGGACACGACTAGCGTTGTCCTCCCCCCAAAGTAAGAATGACGGCCTCAGGGGGTTCTTCCAAAATTGCACATGTGCATCTTCCCCTTTCAGATCTGCTCAGATCACAGCATTTTTCAGGGCAATCGGCTTCATGCTCGTGGCTCCCAGACTTCAAAAGTTTCTTTTTCTTTCTGTTTCAGGCTAAAAAAAAAAAAAAAATTCTCCCATGTCGACACTCTACCTGACCTCCTGAAAAGGGGGACCTCAGGCAGTTACGACTTGGGAGTAGCCTGGAAGTTTATGCCTAATTAATTTGAGTCACTTACTGCATTAATGCAACCAGAAGCAAAGGTGGCTGGACAGGCCACGAGAATGCCAAAAACCTCAAACCATAGTTGGCTAATAGGTTTATTCAGCCCAACCCAGAATCTGCAAGCGTCTTCTGGTTCCTTTGATTAAACAGTGTGTCTGTCAGGGGCCAGAAGCGTCCCTTGCCTGTCCTGGTGCCAGCCCTCTGGAACAAGGTCCCACCAAGGTCTCGGTGGGTCCTGCCCTGATGACATTGTGGGAGGCCTTAAAGACGTGGCTGTTCTCCCCACTTTGCTAGGGTGGACGGAGCCCCTGGTACGATGTATTTGTATTTTTCCCCCCGTTTTTGGTTGGATATGCCATCTTCTTATCTGTTTTATGTTGCATTTTTGTCTTGTACTGTTATATTGTGAGCCACCCAGAGTCAATGTGGATTCAGGCAGCCCCTGAATTAAATAAATAAAATTAAAATGGAAGGGGAATCAAAACACGAAGCCTGAAGTTGGTGGCCGTGCGATTCATTTGGAAAGTGCCCGGTAGTTCTCACAGACAGCTGCCTCTTGCTACGAGGGTATCCAGAGGGTGTGGTCCAAAAAGTCAAGGTGATGGACCCAGCAGTCTCACCTCTTGTGGCAATGAGTTCCAAAGGTCACCCACGTGATTGCCTGTTTTTATAGGTGCAACACATGGGTGATCTTTGGAACTCATTGCCAGAAGAGGTGAGAATGGTCTCTGGCTTCGTTTCCTTTCAAAAGGAGTCAGTGACATTTGGCTGGGATACAGCAGGCTGTGATCTTGATTTCTTGCTGATGGACTTTCTGGAAAGGACAGGCAGAGAGCATTCCAAGGTTATAAAGAGAGCGTGTGTGGCTTCTAGATGATCTCTGCTTAATGAAGAGAACAGGACAATGTTACGGCTGCCGTGAAGAACCACCATCACATCCAGGCTGGTTCCGGCACCTTGGAGCACTGAAAACCGTGGGCAGGCTTTAGCAGAAACTCCGTGGCCCCAAAGCCTTGGGGAGGACACCGTTAGCATCTTCTTAACAGGCCGCTGTCTATATCCTTGTGGGCATCAGTGTATTTTTATGGGGCCCACATGTGTGCGATGTGATCACATATAACAGAAAGGACTATTGGGCCCTGATCTCTTCCCAGGGAGAGACAGAGGCCTGCAGGGAGGGTGGGAGGGACAACAGAGTCTGTGTTTATAGAAGCTTCTGAACTGTGATTTCTGGAATGAGACATATATACAAGAAGGGGAAGCAGTGGCATGCAAGTCTCTGCAAAGCTATTTCTCAGCAACCTGATGGGAGGGAGGTTGCACGGCTGGACACCGGAAAGGCCTTTTCTATGTTCTGGAGAAGAAGAGAAGGGAGAATTGGCTATCTTTCTGAACTTGGACTTGCCCCCAAATCTGATGCAGAAGATTTAACTGTTCTCCAGCATGCAGCAGAGTTGGGGAGGGCTGGGGAAGAGAGACATGCAAGCCAGCCAAGAAACAGAGTCCGAACATGTGGATTCCATCCACTTCCCTGGTTGTGTGTGTGGCTCCTGCGTAACTTGGTATAAGGAAAGGCAGCAGAAGAGAATAAGGGAGTAGATGCAGGAAGGAAGAGGGAATTTCAAGCTGGGTGTGTGAAGAGGATTCTACAGCCCTTAGATTGCAAGTCTGTAGGAGTCTGTAGGAGCAGAAGGTCCAGGCTTTATCACCGAGTTAAGAAATGTCCTTAAAAAGAGAGGGCCTCGTACCCACCCCGTTGCAAGAACTTTCCAGGGTTGGAGGTCTTCCATGGGGCTGCATCCATGCAAAGCAGCACGTGCTCTGGGCTTTCATCTGTCTGAGAACAGCACAATTGAGAGAGACCGCAAGGCCTCTTCTTATCAACACAGACCATTCTTCCCAGCCTTTATGCTGGAAAGTTATCTTTGGTGATTCTGTCCGATGAGCTGGCCAGGATCACAGGACAGCCTCGGAAGCAACAGCCCTACAACGTTTCCATTCCCCAGTGAGCATGAGGCAATCTCTGGCTTGGAATCGCCCCACCTTCCAAAACATGTGGATGGAACAGCCAGAGGCAGCTACTGGGGAGGAGAAACGTTACCCTGGGCTCAGCTCAGTACTGTTCCCTGAGTTGTAATTGGTTAGGAACACCCACCCACTGGCAGTGATATATATGAGATAATACTTCCTGCCACGAGGAAAAGCAGAGAGTAAATTACAGGCAGATAGAGCAAAGGTCGCCCGGGAAAGTTCTGTAATCTTGTCTAGAAACGTTGGGTGCATCCGTCTCTGCTCGCCTCTTTCTCTTGGAAAGTGTCATTTGGAGGTCTTGAAGCTCTGTTATGGTGATGTGACATCTGTCTAGTTTTCCGTATCCAGCTTGGGAAGCGGACTGTGGCATTGCTGGCTAGGAATTCTTGGAGCTGTCATCTCTCCAGCTTGGTGCCTTCTGAAGAGGTTGAAAGATGCTTTAATGCAAGCCCTCAAACTTCTACCCACACCCTGCCCAGCTGTGTGATCTTTGGCCATTTAAAGGTTGCCTATCCATTCTTGGTACAGAAGTCCCTCCTAGGCTAATTGGTTTGACCGTTGGACTCCGAGACCCAAGTCTTTGGTCTAATCCAAAATGGTTTTTCTCACAATCTGCTCCCAGCTACTTTCTTTGCACTCATTGAATAAATACAGAAGAGAGCTTTTTTGGTAAATCATTGGTGGAAAAAATACATTGTTATTAACTGCTTTCACCATTGCCCTGCGGTTCCCACATTAAATCAGAGATGAAACATCTTCCAGTTTGCAGGCATTTGGAGAGTACTGAATTATTGGGTGGAAAAGGTGAAGTCTCCTTCGAGCTGAACTCTACATAAGGAAGCGCACAGTTGGCCCTTTATTTCTTTTCCTGCTTCTTCAGTCTCTCATGGAGACATTCTGTAGTAACCCTTTAGCACGGAGTTGTTCCCTTTACTCATTTATGGCCTTGCCCCTGGCCAGAAGCCGATTGCAACAAGTACAGACTGCCAGAGAACACGCCCATTAAGGCAAAGGTGAAGTCAGACTGGACATTTGGGGTTCCCTTTTTTGGACTTAACCAAGAGGTCACTTCTCTCTTTTGGAACCAAGGACAAAAGGCCTTGCGTGACATTTCTCCTCCAGAGATGGAGGAGGAACTTGCTAAGATCTTGCTAAGTAGCAAAATGTGGAGAGAGTGCTTCAGGGAGAATCTATATCAGGGCAACCTATAAGGTCCCCTAGCTGGTCCCCTTCCTCCCCCGCTTTCTCTTTACAGAAGGGAGGGGGTCTTGAATGTCAGCCCAAAGGTTTTCTCATTTCTTTTCTGTTACTGCAAAGCATCTTCTAAAGTAGGAGTGGGCAAATGGAAGGAAGGAAGGAAGGAAGGAAGGAAGGAAGGAAGGAAGGAAGGAAGGAAGGAAGGAAGGAAGGAAGGAAGGAAGGGAGGGAGGGAGGGAGGGAGGGACCCAATTCTTGATGAGGCCATCTTTAGAAAAATGCATATTCCATTTGTGCCTCCTATGATGCACTTGTGAACACTGCAGAAGAATTTAGGTGACTATTCATCATGCATCCCTCCACCATGCCCAGTGATTAATTTCTAAGAGGACAAGTACAAAGGGGATGCTAAAATTTGCCCCAAAGCAGCTGGTCCCCATGACTGCAAAACCAATTAAGGTAAAGACTACATCAAAAAGAAAAGAAATTCTTGATGTTTCAAGCATGTCCAGCTTGAAATTCCCTACATCAAAAAGAAGACGAGAGCCTTGTTAGTTTATGGCAGACAAAAATCAGAAGGAATCTGGTCGCACCTTTTCTGACTAACCAATTTTATTAAATGACATAAACTGTACCGGCTACCCTCCTAATGTGTTGGATTTCCATTCATAGCATCTCTAGCATGTGCATACGAGCTAGGAATTCTGGGAATTGAAGTCCAAGACATCTAGAAGGCATTGCTCTTGAGACAGGCTGCTGTGGATAGAAGTTATGGTGTTTCCAACTGCCCTAGAGAGCTTGGCCAATAGTGAGAGATGGAATGGGTGTTCAGAAGATCTGGTGGGCCACAGGTTCCCCACCACTTCTGTAAGGCATTTATTCAAGCAGGAACAAACACCAAAAATCTTGACTTCCAGCAGAGACCAAAAAGGGAAGGGTCCTTCTGGAAGAACTGGGGAAGGTCTAGCATTTCCAGATGTTTTGTATTTCCATTTTGGATCCCACCCCCACCGCGCACACAACAACTCTGTTGAATTCCACAGCACTGATGCTACAGCTTTGAAGCTCTTTTGATTTTGGCCTGACACGTTTAGGGGAAAGCAACTCAGTGCTGAGAGATATCTATGGAGACCCTGCAAGATGAGGAGAAGGGTATGTGCCAGACAGAAAGAAGACATTCGAAGCATAGAAAATACTCTTTCTAACAGTGTTAAACCATGTTAAGGACTGAGTGCTTTGAGCACGACTGCAGTGTTGGGAACCAGCATCCCCATTACGAATCATGGCTTTAGCATTATCACTTTCTCTTCCCTGGAAGAGATGATATGGATATAAAAGAAAGGCGCTTTTCAGGAGAGCCATACAGACAGAGAAAGTTTTCCCAATTAAGCTGCTGTTTGAAACACAGGCATCCAGCCGGTGGGAAAATACAGCAATCAGTTAGCAATCCTTATCTCTGTCATTAAAGCCATGTTTATTTGCTCACTGCACATACATGGGGCCCTTTCTTGGACTGTGGGTAGTTGACTCCTACTCCTCTTACCCAAATAATGGAAAGCTGTAGTGGAGGGATGGGCCTGAATGGGGGACTTTGCTGTTAGGAAATTCTGTATCCAAGATCCAGGTAAAAATCCACACGGAGCAGGTTCCTGCTGGTCAGGATTGAACTGAATTCCCTGACATTGTGCTAGGCAGATGTGTTGAGACTACAACTCCTATTGTTCCCAGCCAGCAATCCAGGCTAGGGGAACTAGTCCCTTGATTGGCATGTATGCACACACACACACACACACACACACACGCACGCACCCACCCACCCCTCCTTGAAAATATAAGTAGGCAAAGGGTGTCACGTGTGCATTTCCCAGCTTCAAATGAAACAAGGAAGCTTGGCAGCTGATGTTAAATGGGACTTTACTCTTTTTATGTGGGTGGGTGTGCTGGGTCTGCGCTGAAGAATGGAAAGTGAAAGAATGTCTGAAACCTCGGCATCCTGGAATTTTTGATCTCTGTTTGCATGGCATTGGCTCGTAACTCTCCATTCATCCGGAGGAGAGAGACGTCACCCCCCTCCACTACACCCCAGCTCAAGTGCCAGGAAATTCAGAAACTGTCTCTTGAGTGGTAGTTAAAATTCCAAAGTGCGGGGTCACACTTTGCTGCATTTTTTAGGCTAAGGCCTCCGCTGGGATTAATTCTTGGCTGTCGTGCAACAGCTTGGATTGTTCCACGCGTGCTGCAAAAATGATCCGAGGTCCCTTGTAATGATCCCCTGAAAAACCACACTGTAAGTGGAACGATGAGGTTTGTTATAGGGAAGCCCAAGATAACACCCCTTCTCCAAATGTTTCGACTTCAGCTCTAGGAATTCCCAGTTGGCAAGGTTGTTAACCACGCTAGCTGGAAATACCAGGGGCTGACGTCAGGACACTGCTGGACAAGGATAGGGAGAATAACGTGCTTTGAACACTCTGGAAGCTTGCAGAAATGATGCATTCCTTTCAACCAGTCATGGTTAAAACAAGCCAAAGCTTGGTGTAGGGTCTGAATTGATACTATGCTCAAATACTGTGTTTAGTATTAGAGGAATTTTCTACAGTAGCTGTTGAGTGCACCAATGGAAGAGCTCAAGGACCAGGTTAGGGACAGATCATCGTGGAGAAAATCTGTCTGTGATCGCTAAGCGTCAACACCGACTCGATGGCACAAAATCGTCATCGTCACCTTTAGTGCTTGGGTAGGTGAAAGATGATGATGTAGCACTCATATTTAGTAAAAAGCTGATTAAAGGTCTGCAACCTGGTGCTTTCCAGATATTCTGGAAACGACAGCTCCCAGATCACTGACCGTGGGCCGTGCCCACTGGGAATTAGCAGAGCAATCGTCCATAACAACCGTGGTTGTTTATTACCAACTTCAACACTGCCGTGTGCTTAATGCTTGAGAAGTTGCTGATCATGGAAAGTTTTTACGTTCAGAGTTGTCCACCTCCAAGTATCCTGCACTGAGAACAGGCAGCGGACGCAGATTTTGTGAGTTTCCTAGAGACCTGTGGCTGTCAGTTGTTGGAAACAGGCTATTGTTCTTTGTTCTGGCACTTCCATCGGGTGGCTGTCAATGGAACATCAGTTTTTCTCAGCTCAACTTGGAATGGCTACAAGGACAGGTCCCTGCAGAGTTGTTTAGGTTTGGGCAACAGTACAGAAAGGGTGTAACAATGAAGATCTGGAATATCCATATCTATCTCCATGCAAGTATTAATCAGGTCACTCCCTGCTTACCTCTTTGGATATCAACCAAGTTTGTTGAACGTCCTTGGTTTGCCCCTGCACAACCGCATCCCCCACAAGAGAGACACAATTGGGTGCTTTGAAAGACTTATTTTAAAAACTATTCTGGAGCTGATGCTACCGGGTTCCTACCCATTTCTAGAGAGATGGAGGACTTCTAACATTCGCCTTGGAGAGGAATTAGTCTGGAAGTTGTAAGGCCAGCTCTCTGCAGGAGTATCTCCGCAATGTTAAACATTAGCGAATTTATCACATGGCTGTTAAAGTCTATGTTTCCTGCTGCCCTCTGTGAACACGGGTAGAGGAGAGCTTCAGCAAAGGTGGCTGTTGTTATTCTGGAGGACCCCCCTGCAGGTCTGTAGAGGGGTTGCATTTTAATTGAGCACATTTTTTTAGGGAGGTGGGGAAAGGGTGGTCCCTTTAGAAGATGGGATGTTCTGGTGAACTTGGAAACCGAAGAGATGTTGCTGGTTGGGATTATGGTCATAGGGGGGCTTTCATGCAAAAGAACCCCTATATATAAAAGAGAATTTAATCTGGAAGTTCTAGGCATCATTCTGTAAGTAGCTGTTAGTATGGAGTTTGTACCCCTGTAGTGCCCACACTCCATACACTTTATTCTTCCTCTCTGAAACCTTTTCCCTCCCGCCAGTCCTTTGCAAGGATACTCAAAATCCTTCCTACTTCATTCACCTAAATGCATGCATGCACATACTGCTAAACTGAAAAACCAGGAGGGTAAAGAAGTTTGGGGTTTTTTGGAAGGCCTTGAAGACCTGGCTGTGTGCCCGGGCCTGGGGTCCCGAGTGTGTGAAGGGCCCCATTTCCTGGCTATGTTGACACCAACAGATCATAATATCTCTTGGCTGCTATTTGAATGTAATTTATTTTTGGGGTTGTGTTTGAACCATTTTAATTGTTTTTAGGGTTGCTCACCGCCCAGAGTCACTGGTTTGAGATGGGCAGCTACACAAATTGAATAGATAAATAAAAAGTAGGTAGTGATTTGGGTGATCTTCCAGTTGCGCTCATCCCTCACCTGCCTAGGCTGCTCCCTGTGGCAGGGTCCGGACTCCCGCAGGGTGTGAAACTGGGCACTGCTTGGCTCTGGGGCGGTAGTCGTTTTTCCTCTTTGCAAACTTGTAAATGGCAAGGGGGTCCCTTTAAATAAATTCCAGAACTGACCTTGGGTTCAAGGCAACATCATCCATGGCCAAGTTTGGAAACATTAGACACTAATTCCGTTCCCCCGCCTACATCGTTTGTGTCCCTGAACTACTCACTCATCAGAGCAAGGTTTCCCAATAAAACTCCCTGCAGGATGATAATGCTGAATGCCCCTGAACAAGCAGTTGCCATCAGCTGGGACATCTGTGGATGTGCTGATGTCCCGCGGAGGCTTGTGGCTCCGCTGGAAAATTTCACGGAAACCCCTGGGCGCTGGGTCCTTCCCTTGGCCGAGAAGTTACACTGTGCTGAATCTTCCGTCTCCCTTCTTTTTTGCTTTTTTTCTGGCAGGAATCGCA